ACATGTCTTTTGAAAACTTGCTAGGCTCTCTCAGACATGTAGGTTTCCTCACGATGTTTTCCTTCACCGTTAAGACAAGTGGTAATCATGTTGGAAATGATTCGCACATGAAAATATCAGAGGTGCGAGACCCGGGATTTGAACCCGCTTCACTCGGTCTCCCAAGCGAGCGCGTTACCCCTGGGCTACCACTGCCTTCTGCTAATATTAAAGCCAGAAAAATATTTTATTACTTCTCTTATTTGAAAAATGAATAAACAAAGAAATGATAACCCTACGCTTAGAAGCGTAAAGCAAAGGACAAAAATTAGTACAAATTATAAATTTAAATTATATACTCTATTTTGTTATACTGACTTGAAATTTCCAACATAATGACTGTCATTTATAAACTTAATTCAGTAAAGTATCTAATTAATATTATTCAGAAACAGCGACACGACTTTGTTTTTAACAGGGGTCGTTGAAAATAACATTTAGTTAAAGTAAAAAATATTTTTCTACAGTTTTCCTTCTCCATTTTATTACATCGTCACATCGCGTGCCACGGACCTCAAGGTTGCTCAATAAAGCCATTTTGCTAAGTTCCATAATGTTATTAATATAAAAAAAAAACTCTGTTTAAATTAGTTCATGCATCATTTACCAGCAACTTATTTAATTTTTAGTAGGCAAAGGTATTTCTTCAATTATGTGACCTTTGATTTATTTTTATTTTTTTTAATATTTATTTAAGTTCTAAGGTTTTCTTTAAGTAAAATAGGCATACATATAAAAATTTCTTTTCTATAATTATACATAAATTTAATATTTAATACTCGAATTCTTACATTTTTAAAATTCACTTCTTAAGCTGCAAAGTCTTTTGTCTTTTGTTAGGATTGCCAACGTTTAATATAAATCCCGTCAACTGATATTCGTTGGAAGACGGCGTAAGTTATTACTTTGCAACTTAAATAAGCTTTTCAAAAGTTATGACACTTATATCTAAAATATGTATTAAAATGAAGAAATATAATTTTAGTTGACGAAATTAGCCTTTTTAGTTTGTGAATTTTTTTAATATCACGAACTCCTATAGAGACCCTTATAGCTGACAAAGATGAATAGGCAATAAAGGAGATAATTTCTGTACGTCATATTATATTGTTCAAATATATACTTGATACTTTAAAGAGTATTCCTGGGATTATTTAGTAGTTCCCCCCAAAAGAAAAATTCATAGCTTTTACGAACGATGTGCGATTAAGTATCATAGTAAAAAAACCATTCTGAGACAAAAATAAAAAAATCTAAAAAACATTTTTTAATAAAATATTCAACGTATGAACATATAACATTTTTATTTACAGAATGTAAAATTTCTAAGAGTACTTTGTTTTGTTACATCGTACTTCTTGATCGATTTTTAACTTTAGTATTTTTTCTCTTGTTACAAACCCTTGTTAGAACTTCGAATGGTGGACGGAATGGAGCCGTATAATTGAAATGTCTGCGCTAGTATACTTTTATTTTCTTTCGATTTTCCTACCGTCGGTAGAATAAAATAGAAATTAAATGTATTCTGCAAATGTTTTAAACTTCAAAGCTCAAAACATGTTACATACAAGTTACATAAGAATTGTAATAACGTATTTTGTATTATAAACCAAATATAATATCACCCAAAATATTTCATCGTAATTCGGTCCTAAAAATACCAATTGAATATTGTATATCCATACTTCCATATTTAATATTATGGATGTGCTAGTGTGTTTGTTTGTTTGTTTGTTTGTTTGTTCGTTCGTTCGTTTTTCCTCTTTTCACGTCAAAACAAAGCGACGGAGTGGCGTGATTTTTTGTGTGGAGTTGGAGCTGGAGAGTGACATAGGCTACTTTTTAGCGCGGGAGGTTGTCTCATTCCCACTAGAAAACACTTTGTAATACAAGCCATAACAAATTATATATATATATATATATATATAATATATCGTTTATTTCATACTAATCGTTAAATCGTACCTAGGGGCGAATCCGAGCGAAGAGCGGGTCAGTCGCTAGTATAAAATAGAATGATATATGTAATACAACAAACCCCACAAATCCCACGCGAGTCTTGAAAACGAATAAAGTTTTTCTTTATTTGTAGCGTTGAATATGATTTTAATGCAAATATAATGACAAAGTCAAATTGTTAATTTAAATTGAAATGATATTTTATTTCAATAAAACCTTAAAATTATCACCCACATTGCGTTTTATTTGCGCAGTTTTGCTTCTACTGTTAAACGTGCATCACATTTATCACTTTAATTTAAACTGCACTTAACTAACATAGAACAAATAAAGGAAGAAATGACGCCGAGGCTTATAAGCATTAATCCAACATACTAAAATTTAATGATCAAAGACTTTTATGTATGTTTATTATTTAAATCATAATCACGTACGAAATTTGATGTCTTATGAAACCAAGCAAGTTACGTCGAAACTACCACTCCTAAGCCTTTGATGGTCTTTCGGATCTTTGGGAAATTCAACACAGTACTTATCTTATATATATAAAAGAAAGTCGTGTTAGTTACACTATTTATAACTCAAGAACGGCTGAACCGATTTGGCTGAAAATTAGTGGGGAGGTAGTTTAGAACCAGGAGACGGATATAGGATACTTTTTATCCCGTTCGATTGCGTTCCCGTGTGACGTGACATAAAACTCAAGAACGGGCTAACGCTGGCTAATAACTATTTATATCTTTTTAAAACGTACCTAGCGACGAACCCGAGCGAAGCGAGGGTGACCCGCTAGTTCACTATAAGTATCACTATTCTGTATTGGCTCGATAAAATATCACGTAACCGAATTTTTCTTTACCCTTAGGAAATAATGAAAATCAATAAAATTAAAAATTAACACTAAAAATATTTAACTGAAGTTGCAAGGAAGTACTTTAAATATTAGTAAAAATATTTTTTCACTAAAATGTTTTCTAATTACATTTCAATATTTCAAAGTTATTATATATCGAGCATTAAACATTTTTTTACTTAAGTAAGTTTTTCATGGTGTAAGTTTGTCCAATTAGTAAAGTAATTATTTTGTTACGCTGGATTAACCCTCGCGGGAATGTGGCGAATATAACAAATGTGGTCGGGGTACTGAATTTTAGGTCACAAGCTATTGTGAGAATATTTAGAAAGTTAAATATTTGCAGTTATAAAATAAGCAGTTTGTATTTACGTAATAAACAATTTTGAGCTTAATTTAAATTTTAACACTGTTAAATTTAATTATTGTCTAAAGTGTAGCTTTATTTATTTATTTTGAGTAAGTATTTAAAATATTATACACGTGTATGAGTTTTAAAATATGTACTCATAATAAACTCTTATGGTTATGGGCAAGATAAATGCCAAATTCAACAGGATTGTTACCTACTTGCACAGAGAGAGATTGCGGTAAGAGGGTTCGGGGAAGAGACATCGGCTACTTCTAATCTTTGGAAAGAAAAGGGTGTTACGCGATAGACGATGATTATAATATTTATAACCATCTATACTAATATTATAAAGAGGTAAAGTTTGTGAGTTTGTGAGGTTGTAGGGGGTACTCTCTGGATCTACTGAACCGATTTAGATGAAATTTGTGAAGAAGATATTTTGAGACCCTAGGAAGGACATAGGATACTTTTATCCCGGAAATCATCCCTTAAGGGGGTGAAAATGGGGATGAAAGTATCGAGAAGCAAGCTAGGGACGAACACGAGCGAAGAGAGAGTGAGTCGCTAGTAGCGATATAAATTGCAATGTTTGGACGAGTGCCATAGTATTGTCTTTAAAATATGAGTGAAGCCACGGATGAAAATTAGTAAAAATAAAAGTTAACATTGTGCTTAAAACCATAACCGCAACGATTACTTTAGTACAGTCCCATGTTTCCGAAAGAGTGAGCGCTTTTCATTTATTATGTAAAGGTTGCAGCATTAAACGAGAGCGACATCAAAGATATTTCATACTCTTTACTACTTCCCAAGGTAATTACGTGGTTGTAATAAAGTAAAATTGCGGTGGATTTTCTTAGTATGATGCAAATTTTTGAAATACAACCCCTAGGTAATTTTCATTAGGGCTCCGTAGCTAAAAGGCAAAAACGAAATCCTTATAATTTGTCCTTCCATCCGTTCATATGTCACAGTAATATTACTCAGAGACTATAGGAGCTATATGGCTAAACAATTTTGTCAAATTACGAGAAAAATTTGAGTCCACATTAGTTGAACATGAGAGTTTGGGTTACTTGTAGCTCCAAATGCCACCCCTATTTTGTGCCGCTTGGGCGTCCGCCTCTTTGCATTATAACATCGCACGGCCCTATGCAAGTCTAAAATTTTTGAAGGATGATATTTAGTGGAAAAAACAAACGCGCGGTATAAATATTAAATACATATATAAGTAAGACTTGCAGATAAAAAGTATTTGATAAGGTCGATGAAGAAAGTGTTGTTTGTTAAAAGTTAGTAATAAATGCTCAAAATGTTTATAAATACATATTTATTTAAAACTCTTATTTATAAATTCATCGTAAAGTTTTATTGCTTTAAGCCTTCATTTTATTTGTACGTTCGCTATTTTGCACTCTTGGGGGTTGTGGTTATTTGAAAACTTTATAAATATATTCAAAATAAATCAAATAGTTTTTGTTTTGGTCATCTAAATCACTGCAGATGCTTAGAATGCTGCTAGAAAAGTAATAATTTTAATTATCGACTTAGTACGTCCTTCTATGCTTAACTCTACCTGAATACTAAATAATATCTAAATCTGTCCAGTGTGCAGCCATTTTAACGTGACAGAGTAACAAATATACACGCTCATACGCACACACACACACACACGTACACACAAATACAAACATTGTATAATTAAAAAAACACATTTATTATCATTGGGAAACAAATAGATATAATATTTATCTCCCCACTATGTAAAGATTAGTAAGTAAAATATTTTTACAATACCTTAACAACTTTTTCATCAAGCAGCCACTGTAAGGCAGTGTTAGAGGCGTTTGCGAGAGCAGCGAGTGCGTTCTTCTCCCAGGACACATGCTCCCAATGTTCTGTCATGAAGGCTGCACACAGCATAGCTGTTGAACAACTATAACAAACAATATATTTTTATAAGGAAACACATTTTATGATACTGTTTTGCTTGTGTAGGGGACTGATAATGATGACAGATATTTACATATGGCTACCCACTTTGGTCTCTGTATTTTTTGTGTAACATGGTTAATGAGTAATAAAGGATATATATACATATGTACTATATTATACATTGTGATTTGTGTGTTGCGTGTAGTACATTTATTATAGACTAAGCGTAACGTAATATAATCAGTATACTCTCCCCGAGGTTGTCAAGAGCTATATAGTCAACGAAAAAATAGCCATAATATAAGGCATAACACACACATAATGGTAGAACCAAGAACTTGGGCTTATAGTGTAACGAGGGTATTTTAGAGGGTTCTAAGAAGAAGTAGCTTTGGTTTGATTGTCATCTTTTTAGGCATTTTGCAACATACTTTGCAAAAATCACCCATTTACACTATTGTTGCAATTGTTTTGTTAAGTAAACCTAGTACCTACATATGTATATATTATGTTTATGAACAAATGAGTACCATAGTAAATGAACAAAAAAATAATACGTCACGCTTCTCGTATGTTTATCGATTATCAAGAGAAAGCTCCGTAGGTTATGTATATCTATATTGTTTTGTGTTCAATTGGTAATTAATGAATTATTTTCTTATTCAATTTAATTATGTTACATAAAAAGTTATCCAAGAAAATTGGAAAAAAATTGTAATAAGAATTAATTAAATTAAAATCGCATTAGGTATATAATATTAAAATTCTCGTAGCCGCATCACATGTGTGTAAATGAAAAGTTTTTTTCATCATTTATATTATCCAGGGCAGACGCTTCGGTTGTAATATGAAACACCTTTACTTAAATGTATGAAATTCATCCTAAAGAATTTTACAGTGCAGTACACAAAATTTCTTTCTGACACAAATCGGGATCTCGAGAACTGAGTGTATAGTTAGTTTACTGTATTAAATGAGCTTGCTTGTCTTCATATATTGAGAAAAATATGTTTTTAGTTTGATATGTAACAATTAAACTTTAAGAATATTATTAGGTACTAAATATGGAAGAGGTATGACGTGTTATTTTTATGTAAGTACATATGAATATTGTGAACCAATTTTTATGGTTTTCTAATGAAGGAATTTCCAGTTTTTGTGAAAATGGAAAATTTCCAAATTTTGAGGTCATTTCTAAAATAGCGTACCTTCTAAATATTAGATAAATTTTAAAAATTCGTTTTGATGTATTAATAATAAAAAAAAACTTTTTAGCAAAAAAATAAAAACCGACTTCAAACAAAAGCACTAAAAAGTAAAAAATAACTGATTGGTAGTTTTCATTTACTATACATACCTAATCAAATATTTTCGAAGTCGGTGTGCTTTGCTTTGTATGGGCTGGCACCGATTTCGAAAATATTTGATTAGGTATGTATAGTAAATGAAAACTACCAATCAGTTATTTTTTACTTTTTAGTGCTTTTGTTTGAAGTCGGTTTTTATTTTTTTGTTAAAAAGTTTTTATTTTTCCCTTTTTAGTGTAGACAGTAGTAGACAAGGTAAGGATTCTAACGTGTTAGGCTTGTCGAATCAAACAAAATAAGCCCAAACTCAAAGTATCTACTATTAGCCGTTGAAGAGTTCCACCTATCCACCTTCTGGCCTTGCCATCAGATCAGGTCAACAACACCGAACCACTGTACTATCAACGGAAATAGAAATACTTGCAAAGTTTCAAGTCAATATGACAATTAGAAGTAGGTTAAATTCATCATTAGTTGTTTTTCCACCCTTAGGGGTGGTATTTTTTTTTGAAATTTAAATGGGACCAATCTGGAAGTATACCCTTTGAAACAAAACAAAAATTGTCCAAATCGGTTAATAAATGACGGAGTTCTGAGGTAACAAACATAAAAAAAAAACATACAGTCGAATTGAGAACCTCCTCCTTTTTGAAGTCGGTTGATAAGGACTAGTTTTATAATAAATATATAAATAATAAAAATAAGTACTAGTTTTCTAATAAATAGCTACAACATCTGTTATTATTATTAACCAACGCTGGTGGTTCGATTCCTGTATTCGAAAATTCCCTAAAAAGAAGATCGAGGAAAGAAATTACAGAACTTCTATTTGTCTACGTTGCTAACAAAATTGTATTTTTTTAAGTATTTTAATTCTTTTAAAATATAACTGAACAAAACGCGAACACTTTTTAAAGTAGATTTTCTCAACAACCCTATGTACAAAGGCACAAGGTGTTCCTAATGTAGGTTTACGTCAGCGTTTGTACAATGCGGTGGAGATCTGATATAATGCAGTATTTTGCAAATGTAGGTACATTGTAAAAGGTATTGCAAAGAAACATAAAGTTTTATCTTCGCACCGTTATATATATGTAATGACATATATCCTGTATATATAATAGTCGTAAAGTCTCGGTGTAGTAATAAAACTAAGACTAGAGCCATGCAGTGGCCTATTTATTTTCAGCAAATTAAAATTCTTCAGAATATATCTAATAGATATTGGCAATGGATAGTGAATATGTGTATACCAAATTAATATATGAAAACAATAATAGGATAAATTATAATAATAAATAATGTTCGATCGATTTCGGCCAAGGCGGCCAATCTAACTTTAGTAGTGCACAAGTATGCACGCAAGCACAAGTGCACTTTTTATCCCTTTCATTCTTATTGCCGCTGAGATAACAAATCGACACATCGACACGACATGTGATAGATTAGGTAGAACCGCAAGCTTTACGTACTCTCATATAGTTAAAAAATAAATAAATTGTAAAATACCACCAATATTCCAACTTGGGTTGTTACTGAGAATTTCTAAACAGAAAAACCTGATACTTGGTCCTACGCGGGATGCAAACCCCAACGAGGCAGTCATAAAAACTCCAACTTTTATTTAATTTTTGTTTACTTATTTATTTAAATTTATTGTACGCGATCTTTTAATAAATATTTCTTCTAATATTTCTTGAAAGATGCTGTCAAATAGTATCCATACTAATATTATAAATGTGAAAGTATGTTTGCTTGTTTGTCTTTCTTTCACGTCGAAACGGCTTGGCGGCTTGGCGTGATTTTTTGCGTGGCTGGAGAGTGACATAGGCTACTTTTTACGTGGGAAATTATCTCTTTCCCACGGGAAAACACATTATAATAAAATCCAAAAAAATATTTACGATCAGAATTACTTGAAATTTGGTATTAATACTCTTCAATACAATTAATTAAATACGTGTTTTAGCATTTTTCTAAATTCATCCTATAAGGGGGTAAAATAGGAGATGAAAGTTTGTGTGAAACTACCTTTTTAGAGATTTTTTTAGTTTTAGCGCGAGCGAAGCCTCGGGTTCTGCTAGTTATATAATAAATTATGTAATACTAGCTACTCACCCTCGCTCCGCTCGGGTTCGTCCCTGGGGTGGGGTCTGGGAGGACCACTCTTATCCTTATCACTTAGCGGTATGAAAAATAGATAGTAGCCGATTCTCAGACCTACTGAATACGCATGTAAAATTTGGTAAAAATCGGTAAAGCCGTTTCGGAGGAGTACGGTAACAAACATTGTGACATGGAAATTTTATATATAAGATAACACCAATATTTCGCTTTCACTACAATTTCGTAGCGCATTGTAGAGCATCGTAGACCGTCTACAAAATATGTACAATAAATTTCGTAGCGAAATTTCGTTTTAGCTACGAGATATTACGAAAAATGGAAAACGTTGAATTTGAAATATTACACTTATGCCTGTAAGATGAGTTTTTATATATTTTAATTGGAATTTTCGATTTTATAAGTATCAATAGAGTTTAAGAACAATTACGTGCCTGAGTAAAAATTTAACATACAAATATTTTTAAAATCTATTTCCTTTGAAAACGTTTAATTTTTCAAAAATATAAACTTGTTATTACTATAAAATATTTATCACTATGAAAATAAAGTGAGTCTTTTTAGCTCAATCCTCAATTTAACGTACGTCTAAGATATTCTTGTATATAAAATTTAGGTAAATAAAACCTTTTCTTTTGCAGAGTTGGCTCGAAATTATAGCGGTTTGGTGTATTTGTTAGCTTTTGTAGTACCTATAGCGACAATTGAGGCTTTAGTTATTTCAACACTTTTAGTGCGTAAGTAAGTAGATATATATGTATACTAGCAGAACCCGCTGCTTCGCTCGCGCTAAAACTAGAAAAAACTACTCTAAAAAGGTAGGTTTCATAGAAAGTGTCATCCCCTATTTTACCCCCTTTTACTTACTTTCTTTTCAAAGAAAATATGTAGTTATTTAATTGTATTGAAGAACATTAATACATGTTTTGTTGGGTTTAGTGGGTACTACTGGTTTTTCTACCGGTGAGTCCCACATTACCACCTGTATGTATGCAGGTGGTATATGTAAATGCATTTCCCAACGTTAAAAAAAGGTTATTTACTAAGTTAGCATCAAACCAATTCAGCATAAACACACATTCAAACTCTCTAATTTATAAATATATAAACAAATATTAGTGTGAATAATATTTGAATAGTTTATAGTATGCACTTGTTTAATGTTTTTCAAGTAAGAAATACAAATTAGGGTTTTGAAAGCAAATATTTTTTTCTTTTATTTCATCAGATTTCATTAAAACAGTCGCTTCTAGATTCGACATCGTTAGTGCTTAGGCAGATCAAACCACTTGTGTTTGAATCTTTGATGTCACGTACTTCTATAACTGAGATGGTTAATTAGATACTTTCTTTGTTCATGTTGGCAATGAGTTCCTTTACCATCTCTTATTATGTTTTGAAAAACCTAATAAAATATATTTTTATAATCATTAAAGTATAATAATAAGAGTATTAATAAAGATTAACTCGTTTAAATTAAAAAAAAAATGTTGCCTCTAAAGTGTATAATTTTAAAGTAATTTTGACATTTATTTATAAAATCAAATTTCACATCAAACTCATTCTTATA